ATAAATACTTTTTATTTATACAAAACTCAAACTCAAACAAATATTACAACTATATACACTAGACTAGTCAATATACAAAGGAGTCTTTAATCCACTTCGAATCACAGACAAATCTTTTATTTGAGCTTAGCACCAAATTCACTTTGCCCAGCAGATTTTGCCAACTTTTTCTTGATCCCCACAGCTTATGCTCATATGTGAGTAAGAGTGCTTTTCTTGGGAAGACAAATAGAGGTCTGATGGGATGTTGGAGTCTATTTCGGCTGCGTTTATTCCAATGCATTTAATAAAGTGTTTATTTCTGTTGCAACAAATTTGCCAGCTCAATGCAGCGCGTACGGCAAAAACTCTTGCGGAAAACGTAGACGACGAAAAACAATCCGAGCTGAAACCTGAGCACGACACAAAGGAAAATTGCTTTTCCGCTCACACACACACACGCACACACACACGCACGCTCACTAACTGGGCGAAAATATCTAGCACGCTTCGTGGCAACGGAAATATGTGGCCAACGCATCCGATACCTTCTCGCCCTCCACCGTTCATCCAGTAAAAATGGAGACAGAAGCCGTTTCAGCTGTGTGGCAAACCCATCGAAGTTTCCACGATGACGTATAGTGGGTGGACGATGTGGGTGGAGGCGGAGGCGTTCTTTTTTTTTTGGTGGGCGTGTGGCTGCATTCCATGTCAATTTTGTATTATTTTGGGGTTTCGGTTTGGCGGCGCACAAGTTTTCACCAACTGCGCGTAGCATAGTTTTATTTCAACTTAGTTTTTTATTTTAGATTTTACTTTTGTTTTCTATTTGTCTTTTGGCTCCATTTGGAGTGAGTGGGCGGGTTGTTGGGTGACTGCAGCTGGGGCTGGACACGCTTGGCATTCGGCTTGAGTGGCACATTATTTGATGATGCTTTTCGCGATTTTTTCGCACTTGAGTGCCTGATTTTTATTAGCTGAATTCTTTACGGTTTCGCCTGTGAAAGTTTCAGTTTCTTCTTTCTTTGTCTTCTTCTTCTCTAACTTTAGCTTTGCCCCGTTTTCAATGCCTCCGCACGTTCAGTTACTTTTTGTTTGGCAAAACTTTTTTCCCCATTGCTGGGGCAAACAAAGATTTTGAAATATGGTTGGAAAAGTATGTGTGAGATGGCACGAGTAATTCCTTATTTTTGTTCTCTGCATGGCCTGGTGCAGTAGATCATTTTGGGCTCTAAGTTCCACAGAAGTTGGCACGAAGAATCAATTTTTATTTGCAGTGAGGTGGTCGGAGTTTATTCTTCTACCTGGCGATTACTCAATGTTGAGATAATATCATCTCGTGCTTATCGCTCAATTGTCAAGTTAAAGCTTTCGATTGTCGTCGGTTGAGGCGGCTGAGATGTCCACCCACGAAAAGCGCAAAATCTTGATGAAGAACCGTGGAGGCAAAACAAACGAACGGAAATGAAAGTTAATTTGAATACATTACCAATTCTAATTACGATTTTTCAAGAACAATAACGAAAACGACAACAACGATGACGACAATGAAAATGGCAGCAGTGCGAAAAAAGACAAATAAGTACGACGGCATGAATAAAATAATATTGGTTGGAGTCACTGAAACGTAGGGACAGCCACGCCAAGCAGAATGTCTCTGCACAAAACCACGGAGCATTCAAATTGGAATTTCAAAAAGGCGAATAGACAACATGGCAACCGACTGCGGGAATGGTGAATGTGGAATGGTGTATGGGTGTCAGTGTTGGCTGACCAAAAGATTAGCTGAAATGTGCCATGGAGCAGCTGGGGGAAAGCTGTGAGCTTTCACAGCCAGTGACGGGAAAATGGCAGCGAAAACGAACCGAATTTGAATAATTTTTGTTCCTCACTGCATCTGCACAAGTGGCAAATGAATCAAAGAGTGGGGGGGCGAACCAAACTTGTAGGGATTCGCATTTCATTTTATTAAAAATTCAAATAATGTGCTTATCGCTTTAGATGGCAGCTTTAGCCACCTGCAAGGAACACCAACAATCACCCTCGCACCTGCACCCCACCCCCTCTGCCAACTGCCAACCGTATCGCACTCCCCAATTGACTTTTACCCACAACAACTTTCGCTATGAGCTTCGCTTATTATGCAGACATTTTTTCTTTCGCCTCGACTCTGTCTGTCCACGGCCAGGGTCTGGTAGCAATTTCATATGCCTCATGCCAAGGCGAAAAATTAGAAATGAAAATTAAGTAAATATTATAATATGTAGCCACCCGGCTTGGGTGATGTTGCTGTGGTTGGGTCAGCTCCCCAAGAAGTTGCTGGCATCGAATCCATTCGCCTTGGCAAATAAATGATAAGCATTACATTTGATATTCATTATTTGATAACGTGGTAATAAGAAGTAAAAATAAAACGCTGGCGGAAATGAAAATGTTTTTGCGGCGTCTGCATGCGACCAGGTAGACACTTGGCTACCAACCAGAAAAGGAGCCCAGCACCAGACAAGTTGCCGGATTAAATGTTTGCCTAAGTGAAATATGTTAAATGTTATGATATGTGCGGTCTCACAGGTCTGCCTGCCATCCTGCCATCCTGCCATCCTGTTGCTGCTGCCTGTATGGCTTTCTTAACGTGTTGTTGGCTTTTGATTTATGAGATTAAAGTGCTGCAGCCAAGTAAATTGGTGTGAGTATAAGTCGGCGACTAGCAGATGAGTTTTTTTCTCCTTCTATTTTTTTTTTATATTTTTTTTTTTGCATGATGTGCAACTTAAGCGAGAAGGGATCTTTGCTACGAAAAGGTGAAGGAGCCCATATATTCACTACTGAATAATTACAAGTCTATCGCATTTTTTATGGCTCTTTTTGGCAGTGGGCAATGACACAGCCATTCATCACATTAGCCAGACAGACCAATCCATTTAAAAGCCCATAAATACAAGCAAATGTACGTACATAAGACCAATGCTAATGTCGACCATTTCTCCATTTCTGTAGTTAAAAGCCATGTGTATTTTGTATTTTTTGTCTGATAGTCTACGACTTTTGCATGACTGCCTAGAAAACATAATGTCCAGTCAAAACCTTCAACGAAATTGAAACAAACAATCTAAAATATTAAATTTAAAGATAATTATTGAAATTAAAAGCTTTATCATTGTTATCGTTTATTTTATTCTTTACTGAAGTATAAAAGTAGGCAAAATAAATAAAATTAAAAGATTTAAATATACAAATTTCAAGCTATAATTTGAGTATTAAAACTAAATTTAAATAATTTAAGTAAAATTAATTACTTGAAAATCCAATACCTGTCAAGAAAATAAATAAATGCATTTTAGTACTAAAAGCTTATAGTATTGAAATTAATTCCGGCTCTAATTATAAGAATGCCAAAAGATAAGTGTCGTAAGAAAGCGTAACTAATATTATTACTGTACGCACCACACTTAGTAATATATTGCACATGATTGTTGTCTACATAAATGAAACTGGAGAACCCGTAAACAAAGATTGTGTTTTACACAATGGCAGCAAAACAGAATATTGCTAACAAGGCCACAGGCCAGGAGCAGTTCTCGAGCAGGACGCGGACATAGCGCACTTAAGTTTATTGGATTTGAAGTGATGTCTTTGGCTGGCTGTGGAGGAAAACTCAAAGCTGAAGGAAGCTAAGTTGTTGGTGCAAATTGTGTCGGCACACACACGTACACAAAATTCAATGGGAAATCTTCACTTAAAGGCCACGAACGAGTGGCAGTCACAGGTGCAGCAGGGCGCGAGGGATGCGTGTGTGCGTGGAGCGTGAAATTATGAGCCCTTTAACACAACAACGGGAACAGCAACAGCAACAGCAACAAGAACCGTGGGCAAAACGAGGACGTCAACGACAAGCTTAAGCTGCTTAAAACAAGCCATTGGCAAGGGGTAAGCAGCGCGACGAAAAATGTGGTAAGGGATGGATTGAGGAGTGGGGCGGAAAAGCGAAAGTGTCAAGGATGCGGCTGGCGTTTCATAGTCAAATTAAATTGCTCACTAAAACAGCGAGACGTGAAGTCGACGCTAAAGTAAAAGGATAATGTGAGCATAAAAACATTTTTAATGAAATCGAGACGACTTCCAACTGGGACAACGACGGAGACTAAGACTGAGACTGGATCTGAGTCTGGGTACTGGGTATTGGGCCTGGAACGCCCTGGGCGGGGACAGGTGGGACAGACGATGTTCAAGTCGAAGTCAGCGTCTAAAAATGTAACAAGTGAGTTTTAAATTAAACGCTGCTTTGAAGTGGGGACTAGAGATTGGTGTTGAGGATTTTTCGTTGAGGTTCTGGCCTTGTTTTGTTTGTGTGTATGTGTGAATGTGTACACGTGTGTGTGTGTGTGTGTGTGTGTATGTGTTTGCCAGCGTAATTTCTTTCGGTTGCACATTATTTTCATATCCCGCTTAAAATTTTAATTAATTTTCAGCTTGATTGCGTTTTAAAGAGACTGCTGGTTTATGTCTTGGCAAATGGGGGGGACTGCCTCCATGCGGTTACCGGGGCTTGAGAAGTGAAAATTTATAGTTATTGTGGTTGAGTGTGTGGGTTATGCTCGGGTTATGCTTGTGGTGCCTTTTGACTTTGTGCCCAGCGGCAAATTTTGGTTTGCAATTATTTCGACAATTTGCGTTTAAGTGGTACCTTAATAAATTTTTGATTTGAGCTGGTCTAACTAAATTAATTAAATGGTATACCCATTCCATAACGATCTTGATCATATTTTACAAAGGTTTTAATTAAACAACTTAGGTCTAGTTTGGAGTCGAAGATATCTAAAATGGGCTTCTAGAAGTTTTCGCTCTATGCTCAAAAGGCTTAACGCCTTTTGTCCAGCCCCTGATTCATTCAAATGGAATTTCCATAATCATATTATCCTTCATACAATTTTGAATTTATTTAAAGTATGGAAAATATTTTAAGGACTACGAGTAACTACATTTTCAGTCTAAGTATTATAAGGATTTTTAAGCAGACTTACCTTTACCGGTATGCCTATCCAAATTTGGATCCTTGAGGCCTGTAATGAAACAGAAAATAGGAGCATCTATTAGTACACCCTTTTAGTTCAAGTTTAGTAAGTGCTTAGACATTAGATTTCATTACATTTAAACGTCGTGTACGTAGTGCAATTTCAGTCATTAATCTTTGTCAGCTGGCAGTGACCTATGTGAGAAATTTGTCTGTTTGTCTGACTGCTCGACACATTACTCGTACACCGAAGGCTGGCGTCACACATTGCATCTCGGAACTATTCGATGTTAATCTTAATTAATTGCTACTAATTACATGCTGCAGCAAAGGTGGAGGAGCGTCTTCCACAGCTGGGAATAAGGAGTTGAGCTTAAAGAGCCTAGATGAACAATTAGTAATCAGAAAAGTAAAAACTGATCTCTGCGAAATGTAACAACAAATTGTCGCTAAATAAGTCGCTCAGTTGCCAATGGGGCCAAGATTCCGCTTGGATGGCAGGAAATAAAAGTCGAAATGGTCGAGTCAAAGGATGTGCCAGCATAAAGGGTAAAACAAACAAATCCTTTTTGGCATCGAACTCAAAGATAGCGGGCAGTGAATGCAGTCGCGTGTTTGTGCAACTTCTAATTAATTTTTCGCAAAAATCTATGCCCTAACGGAAATGAATTTAAACTTTTAGTGCTGGCGGAAGTGGAAAGTCCCAGCCAGAGTTGCATTTACTGCAATTGTTTCGTTTCGTTTCGTTTCGTGCTTCCGCCCATCGCTCCGTTAAGGAGTTTTTGCATTGTTGTTGTTTTTGTTTTGACTCGGTCGGGCGCATTTATTGTTATGCCTTTTTCAATGAATGCAAAAACCAAAAAGAAAAAACCAAATAACACAGCAGCGGAAACAGACGTCAAATGTTGGGAAAACCCAGAGGCATAGAGCCATGAAATCGCTCAAGGATAACAAATAGCTGATGGTGCTGGTTGTCTGACTGGATGAGTGGATGAGTAGGCAGCCCTTAAAGTTCCTCAAGTAGGTAATGGCATATTGAAAGCAGTCTTAGTCTAAGTCGATTATGCTATTAATAATAGCCAGCGATAGTCTTTAACTTTCGCCCACTTGAAAGCCATTTGAGACTCTGCGGTTTTATTTTAATTTAATTCGTCGCGGCGTTTAATTAATTCCAAGTTATCACCGCAACACAGTCGACAGCTCGACGTTTAGCTCATTGTGCTTGGTCTAATAGCGTCTAGCCGGACAGAAAAGATTGCACCATGGGAAATGCTTCCACATACCGCAGACATGTCCGCCACCCCGCCAACACTCAACCTCAAGTCGAAAGCTTAGTACATAAACAGTGCGATAAGCGGAGAGAAAGAGATAATGCGGTTTCCGTTTAATTGCAGTTAGCTGCTGAGCTCCGGACATTGTTTATCCGACATTTTTTCAACATCAAAGACCCAACTATGGGTTGAAGAGGCGCAGAAGGAGCAGAAGCTTTAACACCTTTTCACTAAATCGAAGCATATTTAATTCGACTCATGCTTAGATCACAGTTAGCTGTAAATTTAACATTCACTATTATTGTTCCATTTACATGGCACAGTATCACACTTCCTCCGACCATAAACTGTTTTATCTTGCAACATTGCATAAACTTTTATTAACTTGTGCTGCGGAGCACATAAATATTCAAGCCGCAGAACTGTTTTCATCACGAATCAGACTCTTTCGAAATCCACCCCATAAATTACCCATTAAAATTGTCGTTGTTAAGTCAACTAACCAACTCTGTAGGCCTATAACTCCATCCGTCCCCCCACAACAAATCGCGCATAATTATGGCCTAGACGTCATAAAATTTGATGTTTGCATCTTGTAAATTGTCTCTGATTTGAGCACAGTGCCGCCTGTGTGTAGTTTTATTGCCCCAAACGGTTGAGTTGGGGGCGTGGTCGGTTCGCCGTAGGCAGTTAAGTAAATTATCACGTCATGCTCGTCTACGAGCTGCATGCTAAATGCGATGGGATCCCAACATCAACTCCTCACCGCACAGATCCAACATATTTTATGTCATCTACGTGCTCATAAATTTCAATGCATTTTCTTTCGCATTGTGCAGCTGTGTTTGCCAGATTTTGTTGGGGTTAAATAATTTTATTAGCTTGTGTCTGAATTTAGCTGATACGCTGAATGTGAATGGCTTTCTTGTTTTTGTAGTCGTTTCGAGTTGATTAAGTTGCTTGTTGCTTGTTCTTTAATTAGCAAAGTTGCAAATGGCTTTCTTCAACGACTGGTCAATGACCGTGCAGACGAAATGACTCTTGATTTGAAGTTTGACACAAGAGTTTAGGATACATCTTTAATGTGTCATTTTATTTATGCTAACCAGAATAATGTCATGCTGCTGCCAGATATTCATTATGCATACAATTAATATGCAATTAATGTCATTTAATTTAGCGACTTTTACATATAATTAATTAAAATTTCCTTCACATTTTGTGTGGCAACATGTTTTTGTGTCGCATCAGCAGCAGCAGCTGGGCTCAAACCATTGCCTATGTCAGCCCTTCTCCGGCTGACTAGGCACACGTTGCAACGTTATGCACACTCATTAACACAACAATAAAATGATCCTCCCTTCCGCCCTCCGTTGTCCACTTGGCGCGGACAATTAATATGACTGACACACATGCAAATTTTGCATTCGCCCTGCGTTGTCATATTTGATTTACAGTTGCAATTTACACACTTGCAATGCCGGAGAAATGGGAGGAGCTGCATTGAGGTAATTGAAGGCGGGTGCCAGATCCCTGAGTCGACAGCTGTCCACGTCAGCAGTCCAGTGTCTGTTTGATGTTGTTAATTGATTTTCAAAGTCAACTTGCTGGGCCAGCAAACCGTATATCCCTTATTCCCACTCCCTTATCCCTTATCCCTTGACCAGCTCGGTCTGGATTTGCTTTCGCTTTTATCGCTCAGAGATTAGCATGGCAGTGAAATGCGTCTCCATTCGGGCGCAAGCGACATAAAACCAATCCCCCTTTCCCACTCATTCCAATTCACAATCCACAATGCTTCGATGCCCAATACCCAATGCCCAATCCGCATTGCATCCGCATCGACAATTTACACATCGAACTGAAGCTGGGATGCGTGTAAGTGCAGTGGAGCGCATTTACAGCTGCAATTGCGAGTGGATTTGGATGTGGCCAGGACACTGCCCAGGACGTGGCCTGTTTGTTTTATGTGCGGCCATTGTAGTGTTGCCTGATGCTGTTGTTGGTGTTGTTGTTCCCTGCATGGCATGCGGTTCAATCAAAGCGATTTTCAATGTCCACAAAATTACGCAAAAGGACATTTTGGTAATTTGACAACGACGAGCGTCCAGCGTACAGGACACTTGCTTGTTGTTGGTAATGAGTTTGGTTTTACTGTTTAAATTTAAACACGCATCAACCAGTGCCATGTAACGGGGATACGTGTGAGAAGCTGGCGAAACAGGGAAGCAGAGCAGGAGGAGGCTGCACGGGTGGAGGTACAGCTTCCTGATGCGGTCGGCTACAATTCTAAAGTGTATTTGCATTTAACGATTCAAAGGGGCACGAGGCAGGGAGGGGAACATAACATGACAGTTGCATTAATTTTGATTGCGCAAATATTTTAAGTGTGCGGATTGCTAAGGGATCCACAAAAATGTTTGGTCTGGACTTTTAGTGAGTGGATTTAAGTGGCGGCTACACTGGAAATATTGAGTTCCATACAAAAGCCCACAAAATAAATGAATTGACCTCATATATATCCATTTAAGCTACAAAGACAATTTAATAGAACAACTGAATTAAGACTGCAAAGGGACAACGAAGCGCATCATTTATATGAACATTTTCATACATTTTTCCGTAATATTTCATATATTTCATATATAGATCATTTTTCAAGACTATCAGCTTGTATTATATTATTAATTTCAATATTGGTCCAGATTTGATATACAGTAAAATTTGGCTAAAAAGATTTCAGCTGAATAATTATTCGAATATCAACCTCATATTTCAAAGCTGATTGCATTCGTATCGATATATTTTTAATGAATTCCATTCTCAGTACAATATTTCAACTTTGGCGCCGTTGTCTTTGTGTCTTGACGAAAACAAACAGAAGGCAAAGACAAATAAACGACAAAAAAGCGCACTTAAGAGCAAAGGCAGAAAAATGCTTTTAAATACGAAATATATATATATATATATGTATATATATATATACAGATGTATGACTGAGTGTTGACTTACGATTGATATTGATGCAACGTCAATCAAATTGAAAAGAACGCTTTGGTCTAATTGTGCTGCCGTTCAGTCTCTTTATTTAATGCAAATTGAAGTCGCAGTTTGTTTCATTTTTATGTGGATCTCATTTATTTAAATATTTGACGTGCAGATTGTTGTTGATGTTTATGTCGACTGTGTATATTAAATATTTATTTAGCAGCTTTCATTCAATATTTTATGCAGCGCATATTGAAAAAACGCTTCATGTTTTATGTGCAGCTCCAAAGATTTATGGCCATTTGATGTTAAATTGATGGCAACATGTTCCAAATTGTTGACCTTGTTACGAATTCCATACCGCACCATCAGACTCTGTGTGCTATTCGGTATGCAAAGTCATGCAATATAAGCGGAGCCACAGTTCGTATACTTGATATTTGTTACAAGTCGCCCCGAGGACCCAGTCTCTTAGTCAGCCTGCGAGCATGTCTTCATCATGTTTTGCATATTGTTTATATTTTTCTGCAGTCTTGTTTATGCAGTCGGTCGACGAAAGGAAGCATCCTCGACTCGATTGCTCTGTTGTCCTGTCCTGATGGCCTGTTGTCCTTTCGTCTGGTTGTCCTGTTGTCCAGCTGTCTGTTGTCCTTTGCACTTTGGCTTCGTTCGATACATGGCATATCAGATTTATTTTACAGTTACAATATTTAATTTGCTCTTACGCAAATTGCTTGCATTTTCCGTTTTGTTCGTCGCATGCAAATTTCTTTGCACAAGGGTCAGTTTG